AATTGGCATGTAAAATTTAAATGATTTAATGCTTGAGATAAATATTGATACATGATTTAATTGATGGTCGAAAAATGATTAAGTATGAAATAATGTATAGACATGAGAAATGTGTAATGGTATTTGCATGCATAATTGATAAAGTGTTTCATTAGCCTTTTTATTTATGAGGGATTTCTATTCTCCCGTCATCTAGTTTGAAAAGACGTGAAATGACTGCTCTATGTGGATGACAGCGTACCCTCTAACGAGAGTGGTGACGAGATATGATTATAGGAGTCACATTTGATGAAGTACGACTGTGGCCATAGTTAACATGTAGGACCACTATGGTTGGCACGACAGTGGTCATAGATCGTGTCATGGTTTGACAAGCTGTAAATGTATTGTTGGTTTGACAAGCCACAAATTGCTGTTATAAATGAAATGAATTGGTCATTCCACATGAGTATTCGAAAATCCGTATTGCCCTTAATAAATAGAAGTCAAAATGATTTCGCGCGAAAAATAAAATGAAGGATAGTGCATATCATAATTTGTTTGATTTTCTCTATTTTTAGTATGATTGATTTGATCAACATGATAGATTTGATTTTTTTTAATAAAATAAATTATTTTCATAATTAATAAAGAACTCTAACATGATTCTTAATGGTAAGTAATGATAGTACGTTTAATTACTTTTAAAATCTAATAATATTATTTAAATATTATTTTTTTTACTGAGTATATAAAACTCACTCCTTTCTATGCCCCCGCTCCAGATGAGAAAGATAGTGAGGAATCGATCACTGACCTCCTCCTTAAAGTCTTTGAGGATCTCGTGGATCCATGAACCTTTATGAGTGCATGATTTGTCTCGCACTCTGATGAGTTCATTTAAATAATGATAGACGTGACTCTCTTTTGTATTTTATTTTTTTGTATTTTATTATCACTTCTGTCCTCAGTTATATATATGTAATTAGGAACTCATATATTTTATAAGGAATTTGTAAATATTATTCCGCTGTATATATTTATTTATTATGCACTTATAATCTATTTCTATATATAGCACCCTTATGTCTTAATTTGCATTTGGGATGTCACATTAGGCATTCTCTTTTATAGTGATTTAGTGACCACTATATATCACGACTTATCTTTTCTATAGAGCAAGATAATCTCATTATCCTTGATGATTGTGATATATTAATCACTATATGTCACGACTTATATTTGTTATGGAGCAAGATAGTCTCACTATCATTTATGATCTAACTTGTAATAGCAAGTTAATCAATGATAATAAGACATTTTAGATTTTTACCAAATGTGTTAGAATGAAATAAAATGGGCTAGCATTGTGTAACACCCCAATTATTATTATTATTATTAGTATTATTTTATTTTTATTTTTTTTGTAATTTTTATATAAATATATGAATTTTTATATGGTTTTAATTTAGTTTAATTTAATTAAATAGAAATAATAATAATAATAATAATAATAGGGGATAAAATTATTTTAGAGATTTAATTGAAAGCAATTTTGGAAAAAAGGGGTGAAAATTTGGGTTCTGGGGGTATTTTTGAAAGAAAATTTGAAAACTGGAGGTCAAAACGCAATTTAGAAAAATTGCACCATGTTAGCTGCCCGGGTAGCAGTCTCGGCCAACTAGAACGTGCCATGTGGCAGAGACGCTGACGTGAAAGGCCACACGGAAAGGAGCCACGTGGGCGATCCGCGTGCGCGCGATCGAACGGTTGAGATCCATTCCCGCGCGCACGGACGACCCAAATTACACACGCACGGACAACCCAGATTGAATCGCACACGGATGGTGTAGATTGCATCGCGATGAACGGCCCATATTCATTTCCTTTTTAATCACTATCAGACGGTCCACATTAAATCACGATGGACGGCTCAAATTAAAAGTGGAAGGTTATAAATAATCTCATCCACACCCAAACCCTAACCCTAGCCGCCAGAGCCTTTGCCGGAGAAGACAGCCCACCCGCCAAGGAGCCGACTGCCACCGCACTAGAGCATTTTTCGGCCGTCAAACGAGGTAAAAATTCTCCCCTTGGCTCAGAATTCGATTCTAAACCCACCTGTGGCCAAATCGGAGCCAAAATACCGGCCAATTGGCCGAAAAACGCTGCCGAAGCCCAACAGCGTCGCCGCAGATTTTTTCGATTTTTGCCTCCGATGAGGCCCTTCCCGATTCTCGTTTGATGTAATTTTTACACCATTGTGACCACCGTTCCTTCATCTACAAGTTGACCGGAGTAAAATACCAAATCGTGACTCGAGCCGGAGGAGTCGCCACACTAGAGAGCCCCGCCGTCGGTAAGTTTTGGTTTTCGGTGTCTTTTCGGCTCACCGAGGGCCCTAGGGGTGTTTTCTCACAGGAACCAATGCAAATTTGGCCAAATTCGATCGAAAACGGTCGAAAACGGCCAACCCGAGGTGGATCGCTGCCGCAAGAGGCGGCGTCGTCGCAGGAGCACGGCGGAGCCACCGTTTTAAAATTTGCCGAATAGGCATCGGGTCTGATTTTTGAGTTATTTGGGATACGTGTAGGTACCATAAGCGCGTTTCAGTTCCCGAGAGAAAATTCAGGGAACCTAGGAGTCCCTATAGGCGCAATGAAAAAAATTCAGTTTTCGACTTCGAATCAGGTAAGGACCCCTCACCCTATTTCCTATCACGGAATTAAAGTCTAATAAATGATAAAACTGTATTTGTATGAATTAAATAGATATACATAATTATTACGGTTGCTAATGGAGCCCGAACCCGACATATTTCTCTGTCAGTTCCTATTTGATTTATTTTACAGTCTAAATGCAGTATGGTATCTGACTATTTATTCTATGGTTTTGAATGCATGAATCACTGTTTACTTCATTATGGATTGATTTTGTGAATTCGATGATATGCTTGCCTTGTTGGATGCTCGTTACTTGTTTAAAGTATTCATGTTTATGTGAGAAACAGAAAACTAAGAAATAAATAAAAAAGGTATGTGAATTGATAAATGGATAAGTTGACAGCCTTACTAGATATCCTGAAGATGGTGGATGGATCGGGTCCATAGGGAACCCTACCAGGAACGTTGTTTCATACCGGACGGGGTATGGAGATTTTAAATGTTTTGACGCT